GTGGCCGGGAGTGGCCACTGCACTCCAGTCTGGGTGACAGAATGAGACTCCAACTCAAAAAAAAACAAGTCAATAAAAGTACCTTCCCATGCAGCTGTTGGGTTTCTGGCCTCTGGGTCAGCGACTCTAGACTCCCTTTCTCACGAGGACATGTTTCCTGGTGGGCGCACCACCTTGCCTGCACTGAGGGTGACCCTCCGCAGGCGGCTGACGCAGCTGAATGCATCATGATGACAGCACACAGTGAAACCCTTATGTGGGCCAACTGACCCTAGTCAATGTATTAACTCACTTCCTCCTCAAAGAAACAGTCAGATGAGAACTTCGGGTGGTGGAAGGAGCCATGAACTCGAACTTCATATGCCACTCTGTTGACAACTTTTTGTGTGTCGTAGTTAAGTGAAACGTTTTAAGATTTTTTTCATGTGGCCATTTTCTTTAGAATGTGGCCAGGTATAAAATGAAGCCAAGGGGCATGGTGGCTCATGCCTGTAATCCCAGCATTGCTCATTATTCTCACTACAAAACCTAATATTTAAGCAAAGAGAGAAACATCCCTCCCACCCCACCTGACAGGCTCCTGCTCTTAGCGTTCCTGTTTCCAAATCCATGTGGGGTCCCTCAGGTTCATACCTCCAGCTGACCGATTTGTGAATGTTTTAGGAGACGGGGTGAAGTTTGAGCTTTTTAGAAAGAACACACGTCTGAGAAACAGCGCTGTCGCCTCTGAGTCTGCCCCAGAAGGCAGAGTCACCTCCCCTGTGGCGTCCTCAACCTGGCGCTCCCAGTAGGCTTGTGTCTTCCAGAGCTCTCTCTACCTGCCTTCATTCTGGGAGCTGACCGTGGAGCCTGTCCTTTGGTGAACGGCGCCTCTGGGGATGTGTTCTCACGGTCACTGGCTGTGAATGGGGGGAGCCTTGGAGGGCCTTTTGAGAGAAAAAGGGCGTGTGGATCCATGTCCTTTCTCGAATGTTAAACTTAGAAGCACAGTTTGTTTCTTCAGATGTCTCTCCTTAACTCCCACTCTTGGAGGGCACGCTAGGGGAGACTGAAAACAGGAAGGGACTCTTGCTGGAATATTTTAACACCCTCTCTCACCCCCCAGAGCCTTGAAGGCTCGGCCCAAGTGTGACTCTTGCAGGGACTGCTCTGACCAGGCTAGCTCCTGTCTACACCTCCTCCCAGAGGCTACGTGGCAGACCGTGGCCGGTCAGCCACGGCTCCTCCCTTGGTCTTCAGCTCTGGGAGGCAGGGACGAAGCCTGTCTCCACCACTGCTGAATCCTCATGCTCGGCACGCCGTGGACACTCACTGCCCACTGATGGAGGGGGCAGCTGGTATCACTGTCTTTCTGTACCTGCCTGTCCTGGAGGCAGCCCACCAAGGGCTTGCTGGCTTTGTGTACACAAAGAGCAGGGCTATTCCCCACTCCTGAGGAAGTCTGTTCCACGATACTGTTCCTGCAGCCAGTACTGACTGTACTCAGAGACACTGTGAGGAGTCCGGGTCTCACATGACGTGTCTGACCACAATTCGATAGTGAAAGGAAACTGAACATGTAAAAGTCCAAAGAAAAAGGCCACTTCCAACACTGAGGTGCAGGTCACTGGAGTCACATTCTTAGTCTCATCCCGACATCTGACTTCGTGCTGCATTAGTTCAGATAATACTACTCGATGTAACAAGTAGAATCATAGATAACGGCAAAAAGCAGCAAGCCAGTGGCTGATCGCCTCAACTGCGAGGTTCTACTGTGACCCGACGTCTGCCCCGAGTCAATTCTGCCCATCCTTCTAGCGCCAGCTCTGTGGAGGAAGCTCCCTGGGCCCCACCTTGCTTCCTTCCTTTCTCTGCAAACTTCCTTCCTTCCGTCCCTTTCGCCTCCTGTGAATTAAGAGCTTCCTCTGCTTGCAAACATGCTTCGGAAGCCCCGGCAGCGGGGACCCTCCATCTCCCATTGCCTCTGCTCAGCTTGGGTTTGGTTGTTCACCTTTGCATTAGGCTGCTAGATTTAAAAAACTGTCAACGGTATGCTGAAATATTTGCAGGATGGAGTTCCAGGACAGAAAATTCCAGAGGGGTCTGGTGCACACAGACCTGGCAGGGGTCCGGCTGCTTCCTCCCTCAGATGACATGGAGCCGGGGGCTCTGGAGGCCTGGGGAGCAGATGATCCTCGGGAAAGTGTTCATTCAGGACGTTTGTTTTATGGATGGGGAAATTGAGGCCCAGAGAGGCGGCGAGACATGCCCAAGCCACACAATGATTTAGTGCAGGGCATTCCAGGCACAGGCCATGGACCCGGTCAGCAGCACCGCAGAGCTCACAGCAAGGGAAACCCTCAGGCCCCAGCCCAGGCCCTGCCGAGTCCAAGGCTCAGGGCAAGGCCTGGGAATCTACATTTTTGGCTAAGTTCTCCGGGTAATTCTCATGTCTCCCGAGATGCCATACTCAAAATCGATCGACGTCCCCCTAATGTGTCTGGTTGGGAGGGGGGTGTCCTGCTGGTGCCCTCAATTTTGACATTGAGACTTTCTGAATGGTCTTCCGCCAGGCTGTGGGCCCAAACTTCTGAATGTACTGGGTTTCTGGAAATGGACCCTCTCAGCTTTCAGTGATTGTCTTTTAAAGATAGTATTCAGTCTGGAAGCGGTGGCTCATGCCTATAATCCCAGCACTTCGGGAGACTGAGGTGAGGGGATTGCCTGAGCCCACGGGTTTGAGACCAGGCTGGGCAATTTGGTGAGACCTCATCTCTACAATAAATCAAAAAAAAAATAGCTGGGCATCATGGTGCATACCTATAGTTTCAGCTACTTGGAAGGCTGAAGTGGAAGGATCACCTGAGTACAGCAGGTCGAGGCTGCGGTGGCTGTGAGCGTGCCACTGCACTCTAGCCTGGATGACAAAGTGATACTCCAACTCAAAAAAAAAAAAAAAGAAACAAAAAGTTAGTATTTAACCCCAATCTATGAGAATGTTTCAGAATATTATAATATTTATGCACTCAAATGTATCAGTCTTCTCTTGTGACTTCTGAGTTTTTCTTTTTCCTTTTTTTTTTTTTGGTCTTGTTGAGAAAGGCTTGTCTTCATTTTGTCTTTTGGATAGATCAGGAGTTAATGCTCATAACAAAAAGTATCAAGTCAGTTTGTCAATACTATTCTTATTCCTTTTTCCTTCAGATTTTTGGTTTTTGTTTTTATTGAGATGGTCCAAGTCCACGAAACAAAATTTCTTAAAATGCTAACACTGAAGGCACGCTGTGACTCTTTTAAGCCTCCATGAAGACACAAATTATGTTTAAATATAAACTGTTCCTCAGATAGAAGCCACTGTTTTGCGGGCTGAGCTAACTAAGATGAAAAGCTTGGTTTTGGGCACCACAGATAGCCTGCAATCTACCCTTACCTAACACCACAGGGACTTTTCTTATTTTAATTTTTCTTCCTGGACAGAAAGACATTTGGCCAAGACAGGATCATTTTGAATTGAGTGAAGGGAGTTTTTTAATGCAGCAACATTTTCTGAAAAAAAAAAAAAAGAACTTCCATGAATCCTACTGGGAATTTGTTTCGTAACAAAAATTTCACAACGTGCAGTGCTCATTTTGTGAAATTGGTTGCATCTGAGTGTGGAGAGACACGGCGGAAGGTGTGGGGGCTTGTCCTGACCTCTGTGCCATCCAAGAAGCGGGCCCAGGGAGAGCGTGGGAGCTACCTACCAGTCAGGTCCTGTGACGTCCCTGTCAGCTGCCCAGCCTCTGTGCAGTCCCTCAAGTCACCCCCTTTTGCTGTGGTCATCCACATCACTGTGCCCTTGGGGGGACTTTGGGCCTTCCCAGAGCCCTCAGGACTTGGAGTTCTGTGCTGGAGCCTCTCAGACGTGCAGAAGACCCAGGCTCCTTTCCGTTTATTTGAGGTTCTTCTGATATTAAAGACTAAAACGGAAGAATTCCAGATGAGGGTTATAAAAATGGTGCTGTGTTTTTCATGTTTATATAAATCCTATTAGGGCTTTGAGCCACAATGGCAGAATTGTCATAGAATATTGTCACAGACATTTGGAAGACTTGTAACAAATGTATTAATCCATAAGGCATGACAGAAAGGACTGCGGCAGTGAGACACTAATTTACACACAATCGACAAGTATCTTCTTTGAAGTCAGTGATTCTTGAAGACTGTGTCCCTAACCTCATTTCTTTGTTTGTTTGTTTGTTTTGAGTTGGAGTCTCACTCTGTCACCCAGACTGGAGTGCAGTGGCCGCTCCCGGCCACTGCAGCCTCGACCTGCTGGGCTCCGGCGATCCTTCTGCCTCAGCCATCCAAGTAGCTGGAACTACAGGCGCGCACTACCACGCCCAGCTGATTTTTGATTTATTGTAGAGATGAGGTCTTGCCAAGTTGCCCAGGCGGGTCTCGAACCCGCGGGCTCAGGCGATCCACTCACCTCAGCCTCCCAAAGCGCAGGATTACAGGCTGAGCCACCGAGCCTGGCTCATAACCTCTTTTGAAGTTAAGATCGAGAGCCTGAATTTGGTGCCATTTATATAAATAAAGCCCAAGGCCAATGTCCTCCGCCTTCCTCCTGTCACCCCTCCCTGTCCACCCGTCCACCTGGTCACACCTGGTCAGCTCTGGGCACAGTCGCCTCTCAGCACCACAGGCTATCACCACGGTGCCCGGACCAGGCCGTGGGGGATGAGACGGCTGGAATTCTCACCAGCTGGCCACAACCCAGCAGAGGCCCCAGCATGTCTAAGCCATAACTGCCCCTTCAGTGGGGAGACCTGTGGGTGAGTGCAGGAGAAGCCACCTACAGGAGCTGGGCTTTAAGGGTCTTCTTAGAGTAAAAAATAAAACAGAGACATTCCACACCAAGGCGACCAGGATTCTGCTGTTTCCATGTTTCTAGGACTCCTATTGGGGCTTTGAGCCCACAGAGGTACAAAGCAAGGTGACTGTCATAATACATTGTCCTAGCACACTGGAATGATATCCCACTTGCTGCTGGTGATGGAGGGCGATGCCAGTCAATGAACCAGCTTGCTCATGCTCACGTTTGTAGTAGGGACAGCTGAGACCACAGAGCACCCCTTCCCTGCGAGGGCTGGGCCAGGCTAGGACCATAGGACACCCCTTCCCCACGAGGGCTGGGCCAGGACTCAGGAAGGGCCTGAACACTGGGTCCCGTGTGCCCCTGACTCGCCTGCAGATGTGAGCAATCTCTCTGAGAAGTTCTCTACTGGGAATGTATCCTAAAGTCACATCATCTGAGATGCGCAAAAAAAAAAAAAAGTGCTTGAAGTTCTGTTTGAAAATGGCTTCAACAAGTGGAAGGAAACCTTAGATCCAGCAGCAGGGATTGTTTAAAGAGAAAGTGCGTGAACCAGCACTGTGTAGACACAAACGTGGGGCAGCAGGAACGTCCCTGCAGACAGTGGGGACGTCTGGACAGTGAATTCCACACACGTGTTGTCCACAGGCCAAGAGGCATGAGATGGGTGCTTTCTCGGTGAAATGCTTAGAGGAGAGTCTTTGGAGGGAGCCCCAAAGTGATGCCTGGAGAGGGTTGCAGGGGCAGAGCCAGTAGCGGCAGGTCTCTGCCTCTGCACACTCCGGGGTCCGATGGCCTGGCTTTGCACAGATTCCATCAGTCACTAGTTTGGTGACCTTGAACAAACTAGCCTCAGGATTTTTTGTACTTTAAAAAAAAAATTTTTAAGACGGGGTCGTACTCTGTCACTCAGACTGGAATGCAGTGGCAAGATCATAGCTCACGGCAACCTCGAATTCCTGGGCTCAAGTGATCTCCCTGCATCAGCCTCCTGAGTATCTGGGACTACGGGCATGTGTCATGACACCTGACTCATTTTTAACTTTTGTTTTTTTTTGTAGAGACAACGTCTTGCTCACTATGTTGCCCAGGCTGGTCTCAAGCTCCTGGCCTCAAAAGATCTTCCTGCCTTGTCCTCCCAAAGTGCTGGAATTATAGGTGTGAGCCACCACACCTGGATATTTGTGTACTATTTAAAAGGAGAGAATTCAGCTGGGTGTGGTGGCTCACACCTGTAATCCCAGCACCTTGGGAGGTGGAGGCAGAATATTGCCTGAGCCCAGGAGTTTGAGACTAGCCTGGGCAACTTGGTGAGATCTCATCTCTACAATAAGCCCAAAAATTAGCTGGGCATGGTGGCATATACCTGTGGATCCAGCTACTTGGAAGGCTTAGGTGGAAGGATCGTCTGAGCCCAGCAGGTCGAGGCTGTGGTGGCTGTGAACATGCCATTACACTCCAGCCTGGGCAGCAGTGAGACTCCAACTCAAAAATTATTAAAATTAAATTAAAAAATAAAAGAGCATTCATCTAAAACTCTTAGATAAGTGCCTGGTGCTCAGCGAACCCTTAATACATGCTAGCTGATAGTACGGCCTATATTTTCTGAATGGAATACATGCTGCCTTTAGAATGAGGAGAAATGCTTTTGAATGAACAATGACAAGCAGAGAGGAGGAACAGGCCTCTGCTTTCGTTAAGAACCAACCCCACCACTTTTCTTTCCACAGGGGTCACGTTTTCTTTTTTCTGGAAGACACAAGAACAGTCCAGACCAGTCCCTTCCGCATATGGGGGCCAGGTCATCTCCGATGGCTTCAAAGTTTGCTCCAGCGGTGGCAAAGGCTCCGTGGAACTATACACACGGGACAACGCCATGACTTGGGAGGCCACCTTCAGCCCGCCAGGTGAGGGGGCCGGTCCAGGGCTCTGCCAGAGGAGTCAGGAGGGAGTGCTCTCTGAGGACGGAGAGCTGGGAGAGATCTTCCCTGAGAACGGGGAGCTGGGAGGGAGTGCTCGCTGAGGAGGAGGGACCAGGAGAGGTCCTCCCCGAGGATGAGGACCCAGAATGGGTCAGCCCTGAGGACAGAGAGCTGGGAGGGAGTGCTCCCCAAGGATGAGGAGCTGGGAGGGAGTGCTCCCTGAGGACGGAGAGCCGGGAGGGGTCCTCTCTGAGAGCCAGGAGGGGTTCTCCCTGAGGATAGGGTGCTAGGAGGGGTCCTACCTGAGGACAAGGAGCGGGAAGGGTTCTCCCTGAGGACAGGACGCCTGAAGGTGCCGGGACCTCCTGCTGTGAGCTCCTTTCCCTCAAAGGCTTTCCTGGCGGCACCTGGGATGGCAAGGATATGCCCTGGAGAGGTATCTTTGTGGGTGCAGGCCCGGCTCCGTCTGACTATGCTGTGTGACCCCTGGGGGTGCCTGGACTGCGCCGAGCTCTGGTTTTCACTATGAGGTGACATGTACAGTGCTCACCTCAGTCTCGGGGCAATGACGTGGAGCACTGCATCCAAGTCAAACCGTCGTTAAACTCTTCCTCCCCTCCCTCTTCCTCCTTCTCTTTAGTTGTGCGGACTTGCAGCGTATACAATGCGATGAGAAGCTTCTTTTGGAAAGACAGGGAGCTGGAGGGACCAGGAGGATGTGGAGCTGGGCCATGCTGGGCTTGGAGAAAAGGGGCTCTTGGGTGCCTGGGAGAGGATGGGTCTTTTCAGACGAGTGGACCTCGCAGGCAGGTGCTGACACGTGAACGTGACTTCTGTCTGTCTGAGGCACGATACCCTGTGCTGGCGTGAGTCCGCAGGTGCAGGGAGGCTTGAGGTCAGGGAGGCAGAGGGGCTTCAGATAGCTGTGGAGGGAGGGCCAGCGGGGGAGGCAGAGGTGGCGACATGGGGGCAGCATGAAGACCTAGCATGGTGGCTTCCCCCGTAGGCGGTGACCTCTTTTGGATATTCGAGGAAAATTCATTTCTGGCCCATCTCAGGGAGGCTGTGTGGCTCAGCTGATAAAAACATAGACTCTAGAGCCATGCAGCCTGGGTCAAATCCTGCTCCGCCCCTTGGCAGCCGTGTGGACCTGGCACCTTTCTTTCCTGCCCTGTAACTCATTTCCTCACTCCTGATATGAGGATAATAATGGCCTCACTCGTAAGAGGAGTGTGCACTTCAGGGAGTTAGTCCACATGAAGAGGCACACGGTGTACCAGATGTGCCTGATTCTGTTGGCGTTTCTGATGCTCGGACCCAGCATGTCCCTCCGCCCAGGTGAGAGTGGGAAGTTCAGTGAACATCTGCTCTGAACTTGCCCTCTCTCCCCAAGGCCAGAAACGTTCTCTGCCTCCCTACCCCCCACACAACGACCTGAACCTTGTCCACGGCTGTCATGTTGTACTCGCTATCAGGATTTTCTCTGTACGTGTCTTATCTCTGTGCTCCTTGGACTGGTCGAATAGAGAGGGTATCAGGCATCTAAAAGGGTCTTTGATCTTGAACAAGCTTTCAGGTAAAGTCTACTCAACTCTGTTTTTCCACCCAGGGGAAGGAGGAACACGGTAGACATTTCTGGCTGGCACCATGCTCTATATTCATACATTGAAGGGACCTGTTATTCTTGCTTTCAAATTCAAGGGCAGTACTACTTTGAACCTATTTAGGATCCAAGTTCTCCAGGGACTCAAAACGATTAGAAAGTTGCACAGTCCTGAGTAAGAAGCCCTGATGTCACCACCTGGGTGACCTAAGATGGTCAGCTGACTGGAGGCGATACTTAGTCTTTAAAAGGGCTGCCCTGTTCCTTCTAGCCTAGGCCCAGGAGGGCGTCATAACACAGACACTTGCAAAACAAAGCAAGCCTTTGGCGGGACAGGGCATCGTGAGAGTCTCATGAATGTCCTTGTCAATGAATGTGGTCCTCAGGTCAGAGAGAAGAGTAACACACAAGCTCACGGGTGGAGGGTCCTGGACGAGCCAGGAGGTTGGTCTTGCCCACTGAGTCACTGCCATGTTGATTAATAACATACATATTACCTACAGCAGAGGTCGACACCAATGGCTTTGGACCGAGTCAGGTCTTCAGACAGGTTTCATGGTCTCTCCTGTGACTGCCTGCACAGTGCTTAGAAAAATATTTAGAATGCGTGAGGACTATTCGTTCTGATTTTAAAACTACAATTTGACAGCTCCTCTTGGCAATAGCAAAGACTGGCGAGGCCGGGGCCACATCCCTCGTGTTACTGGCAGGTGGGTGAGACAGGGCTGCCTCCTTCCGATGGGCCAGTCGCCCTTGAAGGTGCCACAGTCGGCTCAGAAACCACGTCCTCAGGGAGAGCCGCTCCTGTGCTTCCATTCTCTCTGGCCTTGGCAGACCTGGTGTGCAGGCACTACGGTGTGACCGTACGGTTGACAGTGTTTTGAATAGGCTTTAATTTTTAGAGCATTTTTACGTTTGTAGAAAAATTAAGTGAAAGTTCAAAGGGTTCCCAGGTGCCCTCTGTCCTCCCTTCAGACACAGCCTTCCCTGCGATCCACATTCTCCTGCAGAATGGGGCATTTACTGCAACTGAGGAACCTATGGGGACACATCATGGTCACCCAAAGTCCAGAGTTCACGTTGGTGTTCATTCTTGGCATTGCACTTTCTTTGGATTGGTGTCTATTTAGACACTTCGCCCATCTTTAAATTGAACTGTTTGTCTTCTTTTTGTTGAGTTTCAAAAGCTCTTTGTATATATTTGGACACGTCCTGTCTCGTGTGTCTTGTGCATGTATTTTCTCCAAGTTTATGACTTCTCTTGTCATTGACAGTGCCTTTTACAAAGTGAAGTTCAGCTTATCAATGACTTCTTCCATGAATTGTGCCTTTGTTGTTATATCTCAAAAGCTATCGCCAAACTTAAGGTCATTTATTTTGTCACATGTTGTCTTCTAGGAGTTGTATAGTTTGCATTTTACATTTAGATCCATAGTCCATTTTTAATTCAATTTTGTGATGAGTTTGTTTGTATCTAGATCTTCTTTTGGATGCTGGTATTCAGTTGTTCCAACACCATTGGTTGAAAAGACTAACTTTTGTTCCATTATACTGTCTCTGCCTCTTTGTTAAAGATCAATTGACTAAATTTGTGTTAGTCTATCTCTGGGCTTCCTATTCTGTTCCACTGATCTATTTGGCTGTTGTTGTTTCTTCTTTTCAATACCACACTGCCTTGATTCTGTAGCTTTACAGAAATTGATAGCGTCAATCCTCCAATTTTTTCTTCTTCAACATGGTGTTAGCTATTATGGGTCTTTTGCCTCTCCATGTAGGTTTTAGAATTTGTTTGTCAATATCAACAAAATAACTGGCTGGACATTTGATTGGGATCATGTTGAATATATAGATCAGTCTGGGAAAAACTGACATCTTGACAATACTGAGCCTGCCTATCCATGAACATGGAATATCTCTCTATTATTTAGCTCTTCTTTAGTTTCTTTCATCAGGGTTTTATAGTTTTCTTCCTATATACCTTATACATGCTTTGTTAGATTTGTACCTAATTATTTCTCTTTTCGGTGTGAATATAATAGTAATTTTTTTTTAATTTCAAATTCCACTTGTTCACTGCTGGTTTATAGAAAAGCAATTAACTTTTGTATATTAACTTTGTATCCTGCAAACTTACTGTAACCACTTATTAATTTCAGTGGTGTTTTTTATTGTTGATTCTTTTGGGTTTTCTACATAGATAATCATGTCATCCATGAACAAAGATAGTTTTATTAAATCCCTCCCAGTCTGTATCCTTTTTTTTTTGAGTCGGAGTCTCACCCTGTTGCCCAGGCTGGAGTGCAGTGGCACACTCACAGCCACTGCAGCCTCAACCTGCTGGGTTCAGGCAATCCTTCTGCCTCAGCCTTCCAAGTAACTGGAACTACAGGCATGCGCCATCATGCCTGGCTAATTTTTTTTTTATTTATTGTAGAGACAAGGTCTCACCATGTTGCCTAGCTGTTCTCAAACCCCTGGACTCAAGCAATCCTCTCACCTTGGCCTCCCAAAGTGCTGGGATTACAGGCTTGAGCCACCATGCCTGGCCACTTTTTAATTTCCTTCTATGCCTTACCATATTAGGACTTCCAGTACAATGTTGAAAAGGAGCAGTGAGAGGGGACATCCTTGTCTTGTTGCTGACCATATCCGTTTTCTCAGCTGGACTTAACGGTCTGATCTGATTGGTCGGTGCTTGTGTCCTGCTGTTTTTCAAATAGTTTATCACCTTTGCTTGTAGGCATTTAAATTTGTGACTCTTATGTTTTAATGACAAGGGGTATCCTTAAACTGTTTTTGGAGTGTTGGGAATGGGGACTAAAAGGCAATTTCTTTCCTGTGCTCCAAAGGACTGAGGAAAGTCAGGTCTATATGAGGAGCTATATGGGGGCTCACCAAAGTGAATACTTACCAATCGTCTTGAGAAGGAGGGATATGCTTCAACACAGGAAAAACATGTTCATGGGAGCTTAACCACAGCATTCAAAGTGGTGATCTCTGCTCTTTCCAGGTCCCTACTGGACTCATGTTCTGTTTACATGGAAATCCCAGGAAGGTCTGAAAGTCTATGTCAATGGGACCCTAAGCACCTCCGACCCGAGTGGAAAAGTGTCTCATGCCTACGGGGAGCCCAACGCCAACCTCGTGATCGGGTCTGAGCAGGACCGGACCAAGCGTTATGAGAACGGAGCTTTTGACGAGTTCATAATCTGGGAACGGGCTCTGACTCCAGATGAGATTGCCATGTACTTCACTGCTGCCGTCGGTGAGTGGAAAGGCTGGGGCAGGGCTGGGGTCTGTCCTTGAGGGCACCCTGGGGTCTGCCTCCCCTTCTCGGCATTTCCTACCCTCCCACTCTCCTGCTGTAGCCATCGGCACTGCAGGCAAGAGATGTGTCCTAATGAACCTTCTAAACACAGTAGTTTTGAGAACACCAGTTCCCTGAGACAGAGTAGTTAACACTTTACCAGAGACGTGCTGAGATTAATATTCTCCTGCTGAACCTCTGGGGTTTCGGGGTGTATGTGAGGATGATTACGCGAGGCTTTAGATTTGATTGACAAATGTTTTCTGTGTGCCTCCTATGGTCTAGGCTCTCCAATGGCTCTTGGAGAGCAGGTCTCTTCCTGCTCAGCACAGGTGACTGTCCAGGGTGGGGGCCGGTGGGCAGGTGGTCCAGGGTTCAAATCTTCACTCCACCCTGACGAGCCCTGGGACTTTGGGAAGTCGTGTTTTGAAAAAAACTGAGATAAAACTCATAGAACATACACTTAACCCCTGGAAAGTGAACAATTCGTGGCATTCAGTGCATTCACAATGTCATGCCACCACCATCTCCCTCTGGTTCAAAACGTTGTCACCCCCAAAGCAAACTGTGTCCCCATTAAGCTATCCCTCCCCACCCTCTTCCCCCAGCTGGCAACCACTAATCTGCTTTCTGTGTCGATGGGTTTGCCTATTCCGGATATTCCATATAAGGGGAAACTTATAACACATGACCGTTTTGTCTTAATCTCTCAAATCACATTTTTCCTCTGTAAAATGGACAAAAATATGACTGCCCCCTCCCTGGGGGTGTTGTAGCGTTAAAATGTGAGCAGGCGTGTAAGGTCACCAGCGCCGTGCCTGGCCCATGTGCGGCAGGCATGCCGCGGGGCTTGGCTGTTTCTAAAGTTCACATTCACTTGCCTCTAGGATGCTGTTTTCATTCTGCTCACAAGCGAATGCACTGTTTCTTTATTTCTGCATAAACGAATCTGCCAGCAAGTGACAGGCACCCCACAAGGATGTGGCTGGCTGCTGCACTGGCACCACCCAGTGAGGAAGTCTGGACAGGAGGCAGAAAGGTTCCAGACTCCGCCTGCCCTTGCTCTGGCTCTGACGTTGGCTCTCTTAGCTGTTAGAACTGTCCATTTTGTCAGAGTGGTGATCTCATCCAAACACCTTCGGCCAAGCAGGGCATGTGTTTTCTGTCTCACAGTGGAGGCCCAGGGGAGATCCTGCTTCAGAACCGGTCTGCCCAGGTGCTCACAGAAGGTCAGCAGGAACCTCTGCGCTGGACCCACCTTCCTTTGTGTCGGCCTCCTTAGGGTGCCAAGATGGCTACCATCCCTCCAGGGTTGCATCCTCAGCCCTCAGCAGCCTCTGTTGAAAAGAGGCAGCTTCTTTTCCCTAGTAACTTCTGCACCAGGGCAGGGCAGGGCAGGACTGGCATTGGCTCAGATGGATTCATGTGTCTTCCACGGGTCAATTACTGACTGGGCACGTAGAGTTTGCCTACTGGCTTCGGCCTGGGTCATAGGCCTCGAAATGGTGGCGAGGTCAGCCTCATCCAACACATGTGGAGGAGCGAGGAATTCCCAGGGATGATGAAAATACTGGTTGCAGAAGGAGGAACAGATGCTTGCAGGCAAAGCAGTGTGCGTCCTCTGCAGCCTCTGGCATTCATATCTTCCAGCACCCATCCAGAAAAGTGGAATGTATCTCCTTTCATAGAAGTGACACGAGGGCAAAACATAGGGTCCTTTAGAAGGAAAAAATACATTAAACGACCACATTTCATTACTTGGGATTTAGAGGGTTGTCACTTTGAGATCCAGATATCGCTTGTGTTAGGAAAGGTCTCACCAAGTCCCACCTTCCTGACAGTCGCTGTGTTGGAGACACTGGGAATAGGTGCTCTTGTTTCTGGTTCTTGGAGCTGACCCAGCAAACCCTCGACACCAGGACATCTCTGGGCTCAGGCCCTCTCTGGCCCTCCGTGCCCGGTGAAGGCGACATCGGGTTCTTTGGGGGACTCAAGAGTGTTCTATGGATGCTCAGGTCTCCTGGGGAGCGCACAACCTGTTCTGTGCCTGAACCAGGACTAGATCTGTCAGCATCCCATGTCCCTTGCAGTGTGGCTCTGAAGACATGGTGTAGAACACGTGTAGGAAGACCGGCCCTTGAAGTTCCGTGGAAGGCCTTGCATGGGACCCAACTGAGCACTGCACAGTGAGTCCCATGCAGTCAGGTCAGGGCCTCCATGCAAGGACTGAAAGCTGGAGCTGAGATGCAGCCACTCCTGGTCACGCGGCCACAGGAGTGGGCAGAACCTGCTGTTTATGGAAAGATCTATCTGCAGGTGCCATTTGCTCATGGATCCATCGGGGGGGTGAAGTAGGAATCAATCATGAACAATGAAGTCATTCAAGACTAGAGACCAAGTGTTGACTTGGTGCCCCCTACCACCTCCTGGCTATTTCCTTTTTTTTTTTTTTTGAGTTGGGGTCTCACTCTGTCACCCAGACTGGAGTGCAGTGGCCGCTCCCGGCCACCGCAGCCTCGACCTGCTGGGCTCTGGCGATCCTTCCGCCTTAGCCTTCCGAGTAGCTGGAACTACAGGTGCACGCTACCACACCCAGCTAATTTTTTATTTATTGTAGAGAGGAGGTCTCGCCAAGTTGCCCAGGTGGATCTCAAACCCGCAGGCTCAGGCAATCCACTCACCTCAGCCTCCCAAAGGTGCGGGATTGCAGGCTGAGCCACCGACCCCGGCTTCCTGCCTATTTCTAACCCTACCATGTCCTGAGGAGAACACAGACTCTACCAGACATCTGACTTCATTTTTTGATGGATACAAAACCCGTGGACGCACACAGGTTCAGTGTGAGCTTGGCGTGACTCCTCTGTAGCTTGTTGGTACCCAAGGAACAAGTGTCACCCTGACTTGGAGAACAAAGCGGTTTTAGGGTCCAGGTATCTGGCAGTGTAACACGCTCTACATTTACCAGCCACCCGGCCCCACCTAAACCCAAGGGCATAGTCACTCCTGCAGCTAGCAAGGGTGATAATGTCATGTCCTCGGGTCATCCAAAGCATCTCGGGGAGGCTTCCCAAAGATGAAGTCAAATGTCTGGTAGAGTCTGTGTTCTCAGGACACGGTAGGGCTAGAAATAGCCGGGAGGTGGAGGTGGGGGGATGTCATAACTTGATCTCTGGTCTTGAATGTCTTCGTTGTTTGTGATTATTCTTACTTCACCACCCGGGGTCTGAGTGGAAAGACCAGCCGGGTGCCTCGAAGCCTCAAAGCCTCCGGAGGAAGGGGCTCGGCCCGCACTCCCTTCCCCCACCTCACAGGGTCTGTTTTCACTGCATCTGTGTCAGAGGGAGGCATTCCAGACCGCCTATCTTGGCCAGCCCAGGGGGCTGCGGCTCTCTGCATTTTTGCTCTCACCAGTCTGGGTGCAGTTGCACTCTGTTGCTTCGGTTCTGTATTGATCAGAAATCGGCAATGCTGTGTAGGATTCGTCTTTTTATATGATGACTTGCATGAAGGGTGTTCAAAGGGAATTTAGAAATACAAATGGAGACATGGTATGACCCGGGCAAAGCCACACAACCTATCTTTTGGTTGTTGAGTCGAAGTCTCACTTTGGTGCCCAGGCTGGAATGCAGGGGCACAACCATGGCTCACCATAGCCTTGATCTCCTGGCTCAGGGGATCCTCCCTTCTCAGCCTCCTGAGTTGCTTTGACAACAGGCACGTGCTGCCACAGCTGGCTAATTTTTTTCTTCTTCTTTTTTTTTTTTTTGTAGAGACCAGGTCTATGTTGCCTACACTGGTCTCAAACTCTTGGGTGCAAGCAATCCTCCCACCTCGGCCTCCCAAAGTGTTGGGCTCACAGGCGTGAGCCCCCATGCCCTGCCTGTCCACCCATCAAGGTGACTGCCGAGGCTCCACCTTTCTGGCAACCTTCCTCCTCGAAACATCCGAGCCTCTCTTCCCCATGTCCGAAGCAGGTGTATTTTTGAATAAGGACAGGTCTTCCTGGGGTGAAAAAGTGGCCACGTTTTAGTCCTTAATGAAGCTTTGCTCTTATTTTTTCCAGGAAAGCACGTTTTGTTGTCAACACCTCTGAGTCTCTTCATGACACCCACCGCAAGCCCTGTGGTGAGCAGATGCGCCCCTTCCCCTGCTGGGAAGGATGAACCCTGTTAGATGGTATGGGCTATCTCTTGTGGGCAGTGGAATGTCTGGGAAGAAATGATAAATGGAGGGGAAGCCAACAGCAGTGCTAATTCTGGGTGCCAAGATTGACTCAAGAAAAAGACCTTGGTACCCATCGCCAGGACCCTCAGGTGTCTAAGAGGAGGCACGCGGGGTTTTTCCTGGGCGTGGGGAGCAAGGAGGAGCCCGTCTCAACCCTTGGTGTCTCTCTGTGCCCTCTTCTTCTGATGGTGGAGGAAGGAATTGGTGCGTAGAGAACATGCCCCTCTGGAGTTAGTATTTGCAATCACAGAACTTCCCTTTTGCGAGAACCTTAGTGTGAGTGCCCTGGTACCGATCTGCGTGGGTTCAAATCCCAGTTCTAGTACTTATTTTTGTGTAAGCCTTTCTGTGCTTGGTGTCATTCATTAAATGGGCTTATTTTCTAAGGTTGTTTGAAGATGAAATGTTACCATGTGCAAAATATTCACAAAGTGCCAGGTATATAGTAGCACCATGTCATCGTTATCATGGTATAAAAAGCATTTGCCCAGCTAGGCATGGTGTGCACCTGGAGTCCTAGCTACTTGTGAGGCTGAGGTGGGAGGATCACTTGAGCCCAGGAAGTTGGGGCTAGCCTGGGCAACATAGTGAGACCCTGTCTCTATCATTTTTTTCTCTTAAGCGTTTGACCCAGAGTAGGACATATTGAACGTCTAAAGAATATTCTGGTTCTAGTTCTCAGCAGGAACTCACATCGCTAATTTCTTTCAGATGCCCACCGATGCCTATCACCCCATCATAACCAACCTGACGGAAGAGAGAAAATATTTCCAGAGCCCCAGAATTGTACTGAATTACCTTCAAAACGTGTCCCTCAACTTACCCGATAAATCCCTCTCGGAGGCAACAGCCTTGAATCTTACCGAGGTAAAGCTATTTACTATCTGTGTCTGGGCAGATGTGGGGAAGGGGCACACCATCAGACCTGGTCCACATTTGCTTGATTTGACCTACACAGAGTTAAAAACAAACACCAAAAAAACCAAGCACTTTGATTTAAAAGCCTGGATTTCAGGCTTCTCATGAACAGCCAGGTGGCATGGCCACCCCAGCCAGCTCTGCGTGGTTCAGCAAAGCCTCCTTGAGGGGCCTTGAATTTCCCAATGCGCCGCCCGGCTGCTTATCCATGTGGCGACCTGATCCCGTGGGCATTTGGGTTTGCACCTCCTAGTCTAAACCCTGTCACCTCCTTGGCAACAGGTAAACGTGGAGTGGGTTCACTGGCAGGTTTAGCCGTGGGATCGTGAGCCACAGTCTGTGCGTGGTGGGAATGCCCGAAGTTTCCTAAAGCACTCAGGGAATGCAGTATTTAATGCATTCAAATCAAGATCCTTCCTTTTCAGCCCTCAAAATACCTTCCAGGTCAAGGTAGAGGGGACTGTGGCCTTTGGCAGACTTGATATCTTCTGTCTCAGCGCGAAGGCTCTTCTTGGCTGATGTGGGGATGGAAGGGCGGCTGGCTCATCCTGAAAGCAAAACAGCAGTGAGGGGAGCAGGGTTGATCTTTGCGAGGGTCGAGGCTGTGTGCCCGTGGTCAGGTGACTTCACATCTCTGCCTCACTTGGTGCCCCTGAGACCCAGAGGAGATGACAACAATGCCCACCTCGCTGGGGACTAGACAGGTTCCCAGGTGCATAGAACAGTGCCGACACAGTGCGCACTCGGGACAGGTTCTTAGTTCCTATGGGTTTCCTTGCTGAAGTCACACCAAAGGCGCCATGAAGAGCCTTCTGGTGGGGAGTGAGACCTCTTGAAGCAGTGGGAGTGAGACCTCTTGAAGCAGTGGGAGGCTCCCATTAGCATCCTGTCCCGAGGAGAGAGGTAAGTTAGACTCCTCGACTCACTTGTCCATGACACAGGCTGGGTCCTGGGGCTCAGGATGACCTGGGGCTGACTCCAGTCCCACCCCCCCAGCTCTGTGTGCTCGGGCCCGTCATTTGACCCCGCAAGCCTCAGTGTCCCCAGCGAGAGCAGCTAGGCCTCTCGGTGAGATGCTGGGGCCGCAGCAGCAGGATATAGGCTGGGGGCAGGCTGTGGTCCCAGGGGCTTTGCACGTCACTTAGCAGGAGGCCTGGAGACAGGAGTTCCAGGATTGACTCGCTCAGCCTTTGCTGCTAGCATGGCCTGGGTGGCCCTCACCATGGACCTCCTGGCATCTGCCCTGTTTCCACCTGGCTGTGGCTCCCAGCACCAGCCCCTCACTGACAACGTCCAGGCAGGGCTGCCCCCTCAGGACCAAGGAGAGGCTTTCCCCCAGCCCCTCGCAGAGATCCTCTCACCTCTTGTGGGCCAGAGTTGGGTCACATGACCACCCCAGATCCATCACTGGCCAAGAGGAACAGGATGGGCACGAAGGCTTAGTCAATCATGAAGGTGCTCTCAGGCAGGTCCAAGGCCCCACAAGGACCCACAAGGGACCACATCTGGTCTCCCGTAGGAAGGGCAGGAGCAGTGGGGGGAAAGGGTGAGAGTGACAACTTTGTGGGTGATCATGCCCATGAATGCTGGACAGGGAGAGAAGCATCGAGACAGGGCTTGGGATGCAGCCCATGTCCCATGAACACAAATGCACGCTCTTGCTTCTATTGAGCTGGACTCTGAGGACTCGCTGTTACACGTGGTACCTTGCATGCCGTCAGCGCTTAGTAAACACCGCATCTGTGCACTCACATGCTCCCCTCTTACTAGGCACTAGTGGTTTCCTCTAACTCATGGTGGTATACAGTTGGTGTTGAATAAATACCCACCCTGGGCACTCGCACCCTCTCCTCTCCTCTACTAGCTGTGGTATTCAGCTGGCACTTAATAAACACTCACTCTGGGCACTAGCACTTTCCCCTCTGGCTAGCTTGGTGTGCAGTCAGTGCTTAAGAAACACCCTCTCTGAGCACAAGCATACTTCCCTCTAGGCACCAGGACTCTCCCCTCTAATTAGTGGGGGCAATATAGTCAGTGTTGAATAAATACCCACTCTGGACACGAGCACTCCCTCCTCTAACTAGCTGTGGTATGCAGTCAACACAAAATGGACTCCCACTCTGGGCATTAGCCCATTCCCCTCTGACTACTTGGTATGCAGTTGGTGCTGAATAAGGAGGACTGGCACCCTCCCCACCCCTCTGACTGGCCTGGTGACCCTGAGGCATCCCCACGAGTGTGCAGCAGGCACTTAGTCCAGGCTCCTGCATCTCCGGGTATCTGGGGAGGGGGGAAGGCCAGGTGAGAGGACCAATGAATTGGACAGCTGTACTGAGGCACCTGCTTAGGGCGGGCTTGTTCATGACTCGGGAAATCGGAGGCTTAATGTGACATGGCTGCGTCCTCGGGGGGGGCTCACTAATTGCCTTAAACGTTAAGCACATTCGTGCAGACCCTTGCTCTGGGCCAGGCGCTGGGCTTGGTGCTGGGGTGCGTGGTGGACGAACCAGGTCCTGCCCCTGCCTGGTTGGGCCTGGGGTGGATATGTCCAGTTCTCCAAAGAGCTGTCTGGGGGAGGGGGATAGGGCTGGGGCTGAAGGTCACTTCTCAGACTCTTCCAGAAACCTGTATCCTGCCCCAGGGCGGGCCTGGAGCCACCATGAGGAACCAGCCCTTCAGGCCCACCGTGGCCTGGCCCTGCGGCCTCCTCGTCTCTGGGTAGAAGGGCCCGTCTGGCACCTGTGCGGCAGTGGCAGCAGTCAGCCATGTCACGGCGGCCCATGCCAACCAGCGGGTCCCTGAGGCATGTGCAGTGTGGCCAGAGGGTAGGCAGAGCCTGGGAAGAGTTGACCATTTCCTGGGCTGTGCAGCGAGGTGGCATTAGCCACCAGGGGCCCATTCATGTGGGGATGGAGTGAAAGACACTCACTGGATTTTTGAAACTTCGTACCAAAGAAAGTAAAATATTTCATGAGTAATTTCATACGGGTTTCATGTTGAAATGGTATTTTAAGTTTATTGCGCTCAGTGAAATATATTAAAATTAATTTCGGCTGTTTTCTTTGTGACTTTTTGTAATGTGCCTACTAGAAAATTTCAGTTGACAGATGTGGCTCATATTCGATTCCTACTCATCAGAACTGATGTGGATCAGGAGTTGGCAAGTGTGGTGGATGAGTCGGGCCCTGACCCTGCCCTGGGGCCAAATCCAGCCCGCTGGACAGCTTTTGTAAATAAAGTTTTATTCGCACACACTCGTTTGTGTGTGCATTGTCTGTGGCTGCCTTGGCATTCCTGCGGCTGAGTTGAGTGCTTGTGAAACACTGTGGCCCACAAAGCCCGGACTCTTCACTGTGTGGCCCTCTAAAAAAACGTTTGCTGACCCCTGCTCTAACCAATAAGGACAGGGATTGTGATTGTTTTGTGTGTCATGAATTCCCAAGGCCTCGCACTTTAAGGTCTTAATATGTACTTCATTGAATGAAGATAAACGAGTGAGGAGCTCTGACGATGTCATCTCTCAATTTTTGATGTCTAAGAGTGTGAGGAAGAATGTGCGGTTCTGGACGTGGCAGTTAGTATTAATACAGGAGACTTCGATTAGCCTCTAGGTTTAATTCTGATGTCCATAGTCCAAGACAACCAGTTGAGAGCTCGAGGAATAAGTTGAGTGAGACAGACATGGTGTGAAGCACTGAGGAATGGTGGGGACTGGGGTGAGCTGGGGACACATGCCCATCGAAGGGGGCTGCAACTCCCCAGCCACGGTCCGTTGTGGTTTTATGGGAATGTGGGCTGGAATCTCCTGCCTTTCTCAGAAGAAGCAGGGAATCTACATGTTCTCATTTAAATCTCCCAACTGGAAAGTATTAGAAATTAGTTTCATTTTTCTTAGAACAGTGGTGACTCAAACCAAACATGGTCTTCAGGTGACTTGGCCAAGGGCCCAAGTGGCTTCCGTTTTCTAGAACAGGGGTCCCCAGCCCTTTTGGCATCAGGGACTGGTTTTGTGGAAGACAGTTTTCCCATAGACCAGAGAGGGGGATGGCTTTAGAACGATTCAGGCGCATTACATTTATTGTGCACTTTATTTCTATTATGATGACATTGTCATATATAATGAAATATATAGCATCACTGCCTCAGCTCCACCTCAGAGCATCAGGCTGTAGATTCTCATAAGGAGCCTGGAACTCGTACGCACAGTTCATAGTAGGGTTTGCACTCCTGTGAGAATCTAATGCCGCTGCTGATCTGACCAGAGGTGGAGCTCAGGCGGTCATGCGAGCGATGGGGCGTGGCTGTAAGCACAGATGAAGCTTTGCTCGCTCGTCTGCCGCTCACCCCCTGCTTTGGGGCCTGGTTCCCGACAGGCCACAGAGCATGCCCTGGGAGTTGGGACCCCTGTTCTAGAGCAGCCAGGTAGCATGCACGCTTTCACGTCGGCTTGGCTTCTCACCCTAAGAAAGCAGATTCAGCAGGTCGTGATGTTTTCATTCATTCGACGGTGCGTTCATTAAGTTAGCCAGCCTTTGCTGAGGGTCTGTGTCCCCCAGGCACGTGCTCAGGGCGCCTGCCGTCCTTGAGCAATATTTGCTCTGCCGGACTGAGGCTGGTCACTGACTTGACAGGCTTGTCATAGGGAGTGAGTCAGACAGCATCTAGGAAAGTACTTTGCAAGGTAGAGCCTGGTTGCCACTGTGAGCCGTGTGTGTGTGTGTGTGTGTGTGTGTGTGTGTGTGTATCACTGTATGCAAAACCCAGTCCACGGGCGGAGACCCCTGGGGATGTGGGGACAGCTGAAGGTCTTCGGACTTTGTGGCTTCAGGACATGCGCTGAGTAGTGCCATTCTGTCCCCTTAGACCTTTTTGGAAGCTGTGGGAGAGGTCCTTCTTCTACTACCCAGCTGGACGCATGTGTCACAGGTAAGAGAAAACATGTGTGCTTTGGGGACCATTTCGTCTTCCTAGAAGTGACCTAACATGGCCCAGTTCCCATCATAGAAGGAACACGTCTCGGTCTCGAGTCTGGGATCGATCTCATTTTGACTGGTTTTGCCTTCTGGGTGGCCTGAGTGCTGCATGGGTGTCCAAGGTGTGTTCCTGTCCTCAGCACTGAGGTGGGACATGATTGGCTGTTCACGAGGGTGGACATTGGGTTGTTGATCTTTATCACTTTCCATAGTCTATTTCTTACCATCACAGCATCTTGAATAGTAATAAGAAACATGCTTGGTGCTTAAAGGTCACTGGGTTAAGGGAATAAAGAGCACGCGACAGTATGTGCTTGATGATTAAAGTATATTTTAAAAGCTTACCTTGCCCCCTCGACTCAAAATAATTAGAAAAAGCCAGGCATGGTGGCTCACACCTGTAATCCCAGCACTTGGGGAGGCTGAGGCAGGAGGATTGCTTGAGCTTAGGAGTTTGAGACCAGCTCAGACAGCACAGTGAAACCTCATCTCTACAAAAAATAAAAATAAAAATTAGCCAGGTGTAGTGGCACATCCAGGAGGCCAAGGCGGAGTCCAGGAGGCCGAGGCTGAGTCCAGGAGGCCAAGGCTGCTGTGAGCTGTGACCATTGTGAGCACGACATTACACTCAAGTCTGGGCGACTGAGTGAGGCCCTACTCAAAAAATAATAATAATAATTAGAAAGGAGAATGGAATAAGTTTTCCTTTATTGCTAGAGATCGTTTTATTGATTTTACTTATTTAAAAAAGAAAACAGGCTACGTGTGGTGGCTCATGCCTGTCATCCCAACACCTTGGGAGGCAGGCCTGAGAAGACTGCCTGAGCTCAGGGGTTCAAGACCAGCCTGGACAACTTGGCGAGATCTCATCTCTACAATAAATCAAAAATTAGTCAGAGGCGTGGTGGCACACGCCTGTAGTTCCAGCCACTTGGAAGGCTGAGGTGGAAAGATCACCTGAGCCCAGCAGGTCGAGGCTGCGGTGGCCATGAGCATGCCACTGCACTCCAGCCTAGGCGACAGTGAGACTCCGACTCAAAAAAATCATAAATACAAGTAAATAAATCGTTGTGGAGAAGTTAGAAAGTACAGACAATAAAAAAGGCATAAAATAAAAACGAGCTGAAATGCTAGAACCGTGGGATTGCTGTTGACACCCTCATACATGTCCCTTACAGCCTGGTTTACAATCACTTATGTGCATAGACGTTCTCCAGACAGATATGCAGCTGATTGCACCCATTTCCCTTAGATGCATCCAGAGCATTTTCCGATGGTGTTAAGGGTTGGTCTGCAATGCTGTATTGGCCAAGACAGACCAGGAAGGTCAGGCCATGCTGCAGTGACAAGCAGAGCCCTGTGTCTCAGGGGCTCGGCACAATAGGACCTGACATCTCACCCCTTCCAAGTCCAGGGTGCTAGGGGAGTCTTCTCACCCGAAACAGGGGATTCTGATCCCCCCACGCCCCACCCTCTCCAGGCTACTGGGCAGGGGTGGAGAGGGGCGAGAAAGCCTTTCTGCAGCCTAAGCTGGGAGGGCCCCAGCCACACCGTTGTGAGGTCACTGTGCTGGTTCTCCCGGCCATCTAATCGTAAGAGATGCTTGCCAGTTGGAGAGCCAGGAGCGAGATCTCATTCTCTCATGCTTAGTAAGATTGCATCAGGGTTTATATCTGAGGTACTTTTCATTTGAACAATTTCACAAGGAATGAAATTAGTTTCAACATAGGCAAAGGGAGAGAAAAGGGTCAAGGATGTAAGAGTCATGTGGACTTACCTGGGAACATCTTCCTCCTCTTTCTTTTTTTTTTTTTTTTTTAATTTTGAGTTAGGGTCTCACTCTGTTACCCAGGCTAGAGTGCAGTGTCACAATCATGGCTCGACTTCCTAGGCTCAGGTGATTCCCCCTGCCTCAGCCTCCTGAGTAGCTGGGACTATAGACATGCGCCACCACACCTGGCTTATTTCTTTATTTTTTGTAGATATGGGGATTTGCTACGTGGCCCAGGATAGTCTCGACATCCTGGTCTCAAGCAGTCCTCTTGCCTCGGTCTCCCAAAGTGCTGGGATTACAGGCATGAGCCACTGCGCCCGACCACAAATTCCTTTTGAAAAAGGCACAAACCCCCCGGGTTCATCATTTCGAGGAGGCTAGGTGTCCAACCACAGCCTAGGAAGCACTCAAAAGGACAGAGGACAGTGATAAAGGACCCAGGCAGGTGGATTTTGTGTGTCATTCTAGATCAACTTTTTCTGAATGCAAGACATGCGAATCTGCAAAATATGAATAACCAGGAAACTGTTGAGTGAGGCGCTAGTATGCATTAAAGGAACGTGTGAATCAGCCACCACTCAACAGAACTGCATGCCAGAAATGCAGATGTGCTTAACCGTGCAGGGCCGATTGAAATCAGGTCACCAGCCCAAAAGAAAATGTCTAAAATTGGCCTCAGCATTCTGTTTCCAATTCGCTGGGTTCTCACGGAGTATGTGTTTGTGAGGGAATGTCCAGGACACAGCGGCTGACGGATGCTTTCTCCGAAAGGCGGGAAGGAACAACGTGGCCACATCTCAGGAGAACTTGAGAGGGCCTGTCCTTTGGCAGTGTATGTCTGAGGATGAGGGACAGCTAGCCCGAGAGTGGACATGTACCCTGAGCTCTGAGCTCCAGGCACTCTGCTGGCTGCAGAGATATGGGTGGCCGGGCCGGGCCTTCCTCGGGCAGCATCCACTGCGATGCTTCTGCCCGGGGACGCAGGGTGGGAGAAGAGGCCCTTGGACGAGAGGGGGCACCAGGCAAGCCCAGGAGGCCAGAGGCGACTTGGGATGCTGGCACCGCCAAAGCATCGTCCCTTCACAGTGAAGGGGACAGAACTCCTGGTGTCCTCATCCCAGAGGGGTCTGTGGCGATCCGTCTCCTCCATCCCCCGGGAAGCACAAGGGGAGGGGAAGCAGGTCTGGGACTTGCCAAACGCCCCTCAATGGGCTCAAAGGGGAGCCAGGACCAGGTGTCAGAGCCCTCAGTACCCCCGTGTCTAAGCACAGAGACTCAGGCGCCATGCCCGGACAATGGGTCCTTTGCCTGTGTCCACACTCCGTGAACTCCGTCAGGCCTGTGGCTTCTCTGTGGTTACTTCTGATCTGTGAAAGGGGCAGGCGAATGACTGCTCCCTCCCTCATGGAGGCGCCCACCCGTGGGGTGGCTGAGTGGGGGCTTCACGGCTCCCTCATGCGTGTCATTGCAGGATAGCGCCCTGGCGGTAGGCTTGATCGACACCATTGACACCGTCATGGGCCACATATCATCCAACCTGCACACCAGCGAGGCCCCCGTCACCATCGAGGGCTCCTCTTCTGTGGCAGGTAGCCGTGGTCTGCGCAGGGATGGGGGATGGGCTGGGGCGGTTGACTTGGGTTCCCCCCAGCTGCCCCACCCGTGGACTGAGAAGGGCCAGTGCCCCGAGTCACGTGGCCTTGTGCAGAAGCACTTCTGGGAGTAAATCACGTGGCTGGATGGGGCAGCGTGCTTGGTCACCATGTTCCCACGGGCCCATGAGCGTGTTCTGGAGTCTCAGGAGCTGTTTCAGAGCAGGAGAAGTGGCATCTCCCCGAGGTGTGCAGTAAAGAGGGTGGAACCGGGTTTCTGGCATCAGCGGGGCGGCAGCCCTGAACCTGCATTTGCAGGATAATATCACCTGTCCTGCCGAGGCAGAGGTTGTGGCCTCTGGGGAGTGTGGCATGCTGACACTTCACACAGGGCCACGCCGTGGAAGGTGAGCCTCACTGACCCACTTGGCTTCGCTCTAGGGGCAGTTGTGGGCTGAAATGTCCCCTCCAGGCTGCCACACCCTCATCTGCTGTGTTTGGATAGGGCTGCCCTGGGCCCCGGCCTCCCTGTCCATCCTTCCTCCAGCCCTCGGAGCCCAGGGCTAGGGTGGGCGGGGGCCACCTCAGGTGAAAGCGACCATGGCCAGCAGGCTGGGCCTCGGCCTCCTGGATGCCAAGCTCCTGGAAGCAACGCCCGGGCTCCTTTTTGTTGGAGCTCACACGTTCTGAAGGTGATGGCGTTTCCAGGGGAGTGTGTTCTGTTTTCTGCTGAGAACAGAAAGGCAAGGGAGTTCTGCAGCCTGACTTCCCGCAGCCCGCAGGCCACTGACCACAGCTTCCACTCTGATTCCTTCCGCAGAGTTCTCCGTGGCCAGAGTCCTGCCTGGGACCCTGAACGCCTCCCACTTCCGCTTCCCAGCACGAGGGCAGAGCTACATTGAGATTCCCCACGAGGCCCTGCACAGCCATGGTGAGCATAGCCACACCACCTCCCTGTTTCGTCTGGTGTTTCCACAGGCGTCCGAAGAGCCCCCAAGCCCTCGTGGGGGCGCCCACAGGCACAAACAAGTCACCTTGCTGTCCCCAGGCTGCCTGAACGTGTCCCACAGGAGAGGTTCTGGGAGCCCAGGCCCCCTTGTGGAAGCCCTGAGACGTCCCCTAATCATGTGACCCGCGTACCCAGTCCAGGTCACAGAACTGGAATTCAGGGTGGGCTGGGTGAGCGTTTAGCACATGCTCACCCGGTGGTTCTGGCCCACCATGGAGGACCCTCTGCACCTCCCAAATCAGCCAAATGTGAGCACATGAGCCATTCGCTCCTGCCTGAGGGTGGGGGTGGGAGGCGGCTTCTTCCCAAGTCTCATCATAGAAAATGAGAGGCCGAGGGGACCCCTTGGCGCTCTGACCAGGGAGCCCCTTAGGGGCCCAGACGACTCTGGCCGTCGCGGCTGTAGTGACCGTCCTCTCTGGGTCCTGGAACAGTGAATGTGCTTCCGTGGACGGCTCCCGCTTTCCCTCCTCCCTGGAGCCCAAGCACTCCAGGAGAGCCAAGGATCCTCACCTCTGATGCCCTGGCTGAGCCCATGCTCCAGGGCCAGGCTCATCCCCCAGGGCCGGGCTCACCCTCCAGGGCAGAGCTCACGCTTCAGGGCCGGGTGCACACTGCAGGGCCAGTTCTAGCACCAGACTCATGCTGCAGGGCAGGGCTGGCACTGCCCTTGTTGGCACACGCGGGGCCCTTCTGCCCACAGCAGCTCTGGGGTCTCTGGCGCTGCTGGCAGATCTCACTGCACCTAGGAGCCTCGGCAACGGCGGGTCTGGAGCTGGTTCAGGATGGAGCGGGAGTTCTCGTCACCCTGAGTGGCCATAGTCTGTGCTGGGGCAGATTCTGCCTGAGCCCTGCATTTTCTTCTCCCGAAGGAGCCGTGGGTTCTCGGGTGTGAGGGTGGCGTCAGGCAGGTGGGTGAGGGTTCTGTTTCTCCTGCTGTCCCCAAGTGCTGATGGACTGGCCCTCTGCCGTCTCCCTAGCCTGGACCACCATCGTGGGCCTCCTCTACCACAGCATGCATGGCTATCTGGGAAACATCCTGCCGGCCCGCACCAGGTGAGTCCGGGCGGCCCAGCTTGGGCGGTGGGGTGTGCGCACGTGTTTGCTGGTCATGGTGACGCTCCCCCACGCCAACACACCCACACAACAATGTCCAGAACTCTAGACACAAACGCTTGGTGCTTCACTACAGGAGCGAGGAAGGACCCAGCCCTTTGGGGAAGACTCAGGAACAGCTGCTGGATTGTGCAGAGCAGGAGGAGGGATCTGGCAGGGCGGGAGCTAGGCGCACAGGCTGGGAGGCCCTGTCAACCCCGCCTGGACCCGTGTGACCTTGAGCAAGGGACTTAATCTCTCTGAGCCTCTGTAGAATGGGAAGACAGCAGAGCTGTCTATACAGTCGGGCTAGGCTGCATACATGCAGGTGAAGCCAACTCGTGGCAGGTCAAGCAAGCCGGGGGACTGAGAAGGGTGGGAGCAGGTGGGCTTCAGGCCCACGGGACCCAGGGACCCAGACCATTCAGGTCCATGCTTCCGTCTGCTTCCTCTGCTGTCCTCTGCATTGGAAGGTCCTCTACAGGGGCCAAGTCAGCTCCTGGGACCCCCCTGAAGGAGAGAAAGAGAACAAACTTCTTTCCTGAAAATTACAGCCATAGAGTTGTGAGCAATCTGCTGGGAAAGCCATCTTCTGTGTCTGATTTCCTGCAAGAGCCCAGTCTCTTAAGTGTTTCCTTGTAACAAAAGAAAGTGAGAGAGCTTGCCACTCTGTGTGTGGTTTCCAGAATTCTCCAGGAGAATGACCAAAGAAAAATGCAATCTATTTCCCCCCAAAAAGATGTCCTCTCCCCTATTTGGGGAAAGGTTTTCCAAAATCAGGAATGAAAAATTGCCTCATCCTCGGCCCTTCTTGCTATAACTTCTGCCATAAAACTGGCTCTTCAGTGAAATGCGTGAGACTGCATTTGTGAGGCTGAGCTGTGTCCTGCATGACCGAGGGTGAGAGCTAGCTGGGAGCAGAGCATCTGTGCCCTTGTCCGTGACTCAAGAGGTTGAAAGTGCCGATGCTTACAGACATCAGGGTATGCACACCTGTTGGGGTATTTGCTATGACCAGCGGAGTCTGGTTCTGCCAGGTGCTGGCATGCCCTCTCACGAGGGCGACTTGTAAATATCTCTGGCTCTCCAAAACTCAGGCCCACAGGGGTAGCCCGCGAGAGACAGGGGTGGCTGTCTTCCGGTTCAGCTTCCTTTACAGAACCCGTGGCCAGCCCAACCCACAGTGAGCAGATCAGTGCCGTGGTATCCGCATTGGTGGGGTGGGCAGAGGAGACCTCTTGGGGTCCACCATGTTGCCACAGGCCTGGCAGATGGCCTGTCCCCAGGGCCACAGCCTTCACCCTCACTCTGCCATGCTCAGGTGTCTGCGGAGAGGACACCAGAGCGCCAGGACCCAAGCCAACACCGTGGTCAACTCTCACCTCCCCCTGTGGACTGAGAGTCCCAAGAAAGGATGGGCAGATCACCTTTCTCCTCACAGCCTCTGTTATGAGTGCCAGCACCCAGTGACAGTGTGAATCCATCAGCAGCAAATGCATATGCTGAGTCCCAAGCAATCACTGCAGCAACGAGAACACATTTTCACTTGTACAGTGATGCTGGGTCCCTAGCTCAGGTGGAGTTCTTCATCAGCACTTAATGCAAAGATGCCTTGTTGTTGAAATTCACCTTGAAACCGTCCCCCAAATAGCTCATCCCATGTAGCTGCTGTTCCTCCTGCATTCTGTCCCATGGCGGAGGAGTAGACAGTGGACCCGAGTGGCAAGGATGGCGCTGTGGCTGGTGGCACAGACCCGGGGCCAGACTCCCGGGTTCACCCTCCCGGGGCATCCTTGTGAGCTGTATGGATGTGGGCGATGACTTGAGTCTCGATATCTGTACTGCCCTCTCTCACATGATGATAAGGGGCCATGCGCCCGCCCCCCCCCCCCAGGCTCCAGCTCGCCTTGAAGGTAGAGACCAGGCCCAGAGAGGAGGGACTACCCTGTGGCCTGCAGTGGCTGGATACACGCATGCTGGAGGGGTGGGTCAGGAGGGTGATGCACCATGTGTGCCCTTTATCTTCACGAGTGACGCAAGAACTATGAGAGAGTGTTACCATCCGCAGCCCTCCGCACTGTCACTGACTCGGGTGGACGCCATCAGTGACAATGGTGCCCGGACAGGGGCTATCAGGGTGGGAGATCGTGTCTCTGCGGAGAGCTCGTTGTCACCAAGTGAGGCAGGTGCCTGGTGTGGGAAAGTCTGCCAGGCACCACTGCAGACTATTGGTCACACAGCATTCTCAACATGGGACACTGTCTCTCAGTGCTCTGGGAGGCGTCCACGCCACCTAGGGCGTCCTCCTGCCCAGACACCTCGCCTGAGGTCCCTCATGAGGAAACAGCCAACACATCTGGAGTGAGGAGCACTGTGCGCTCCTGTGACTGGCTCGCAGGGAGGGAAGTTGGGTTGCTCCAGCCAGAAGGAGACTCAAGAGAGGCACTGAGCTCCTGCACCGTAGGGGACAGAGACACAGAGCGCTGGAGTTGGGGTGGGGCGGGGAGGCGACCAGTTGACCCTGGGCCGCGCATCAGGACCGCACTATGGGGTCCACATTCAGTTTCTGTGTGTGGCCTTGTGTGGAGGTCGTGAGGGTGGTGGCTTTAGGAGACTCTGGTCGAGTGGAGCTGGTGGGCCATGATGATGAGGTCACTTCCAATGGGTCAGCAACAAGGAGAGTGTGTGCATGTGCACATGCGTGCATGTATGTGCTTGTGTGTATGTGTGTGTGTGTGTGTGTGTGTGTGTGTGTGTGGTGCCTGGATGCACTTGTGTGCTATCTGCTGCATGTGTGTGCCTGGATGCCCTTGTGTGCATGAGAATGTGCACGTATGTGCATGCATGCATTCGTGTGGTATGTGTGTGCATGTGTACACTTGTGCATGCATATGTGTGGTGCACAAGTGTGCATGTGTGGTGTGGGGGGGAACACATAATGTGTGTGTGAGTGGTGCATGCATGTGTAGAGTGTGTGTGCACATGTGTGTACGTGTGTGGTGTGTGTATGCCTTTGTGCATGTGAGCAGTGTGTATAGAGTGTGAGCATGTGCGTGCATGTGTGTAATGTGCATATATGTGCATGTGTGCTGTAAGTGTGCCTGTGTACAGTGTGCATGTGTGTGTGAGCAGTGCGTGTGTGTAGAGTATGAGCATGCCCGTGCATGTGTGCAAGGTACATGTGAGCAGTGTGTGTATGGAGAGTGTGAGTGTGTGAGTGCCCAAGGAAGAACTGTGTCCATGTGGAGCGCTGGGAACGAGTCCCAGTGGAGAGTCTGTGTGTCGCTGCACTGTTTCCTGGCCGATTTCCCGTCGGTTTGCCTCTGATGGCAGAGTGGCAGGTCCAGCGTGGGCAGGAGCACTGGCTTTCACTGCTCTACGGAAGGCTCTCGCTGAAGTGCTTGGCACAGAGCGGTCACCATGGGCTGCATCTTCTCTTGCTGACTGGGCTTGCAGTCCTACTGTGTGCTGCAAATGTGCTTCCTGGGTGTTGGTGGAATTACACATGTGAATATTCACGAGTGCTGTGAAAGAGACACAGCAGGGCCTGGGCTCCTAGATGAAGCTCCATGGACCACGTGGGGCCACAGGGACAGCAAGTCACCTGCCGGGCACTGGCCTTTCTGACTCTGGGTCTGGCCACTCACCATGCTGCCCCCAGTGCTTCTCAACGGAGAAAGTTCTCAGGGCAAACTCGGTTTTCAGGAAGAAGGCTGAGATGTGGCCAGGGTCGAGGGGCTGCAGAGGACCGTGGCACGTGGGCAGATGCTCTACTTCTCTCTGAGTCTCAGGTCATGGGGGAGTTTGCTGGAAAAACGTGTCTGAAAAAGCTCTCCGGAGGAGCCCAGACCTTGAGCGAGGCTGCCTTTCGGTTCCTTTGGGCTTCGATTCGTGTGTCATCTAGGCTGTGGGCCTGGATCAGGGACATTTCCACGCAGGCACACAGCAGCACCGTCAGATGTGTTGTCCTCCTGTTTGGCGGCAGACCCTGCCCTGGTGTTCTGTGACACAGCTTCTCCAGGGACCAGCAGGGCGTTCGTTCTTGATGGCGGCATCTTTGTAAACATGCTGCTCTTGCAGTTCCAGGGATCATTCTGCCCACTCCTTGAGCTGGCCCTTTCTCAGGGTGTGAGCAAGGGAACTGCACAGGGCCAAGGGGAGGGGTGCTCTTTGAGCCCCACTGGCCCGCCCCAGGCAGGGTCACGACCGTGGCACTTAGTCTAGTTATTAGGAAAAGCAAAGTGAGTGGGAAAGGCTGGTGCCCCCGGCTCCTGGGGCTTGGCCATGTCCTGAAGAGGGTCCCCAGGCAGAGGCACCAGGAACCTGTGAGTCCCAGGTCAGCGCTTTGGACAGCTGATGGGGGAGGCTCACGGGGCCCAACTGAGGCAGGCACAGTAGATGGCCCGGTGACCCGCATGGGTCTGGGGCTCCGGTGTCCTAGCATGGCAGCCTCCAGTTCAGATTCATGCAACAGATATTTGCTGTTACCTCCTGCAAGCAGGGCAGGGCTGCGATTAGTCAGGCAGATGGGCCAAAGGCACAGAGTTAAAGGAGGTGCTTGCTCACAGGTCATTCAGGTGTCGTGTGTCAGGCCCTGGACATGACCTTTCTTAGTCTTGCACCTCAGGTGGCTTGCTTACTTCACCCTATCCCAGCCCAGAAATTCTTCTCAACCACATAGCTCCATAAGTCAAGAATCGTAGATATCAGTGCTGCTTCCTCTGGCTGGGTTGTAGGGACAGAAGACCCATCTTTTTTTTTTTTTTTTTTTTTTTTTTTTTTTTTAGTGGGAGTCTCACTCCCAGGCTGGAGTGCAGTGGCATGCTCACAGTCACCCCAGTGTCAACCCGCTGGGCTCTGGCGATCCTTCCACCTCAGCCTTCCGAGTAGCCTGAACTACAGGTGCACACTACCATGCCCAGCTAATTTTTTATTTATTGTAGAAACAAGATCTTGCCAAGTTGCCAGGGCTGGTCTTGAACCCGAGGCTCAGGCAATCCACTTGCCTCAGCCTCCCAAAGTGCTGGGATTACAGGCTGAGTCACCAAGCCCGGCCAGAAGACCCATCTTAAAAGGTTTGCGCAAAAGGAGAGCTTACCGGGTCATGAAAGTTCCACAGGCAGGTGGCTTCAGGAGTGTCTTGACCCAGCATCCAGTTGATATCTCTCAGCTCTTCCTCAGGGGGCTCCCCTCCCAATCTCTCCCTTCACGATGGCCAGTCAGCCACTCCCAGGACCTCACCCTCCTCAGGGCTGACAGAAGTGGGTGTCTGACCCAGCATCCCCATCTGGGTCTCACTGTGTTTCCGTGGATTCCACTGGACCGTATGCTCCGTCCTCAAGTGTTGTCATGGCCTGAGGATATGATACTGACTGATCCAGATCTGGACACCATGGCTTACTCCGGAGCCAGGGACAGTCGCCTGGAGGAAAACAGAGGCACCTGCATCAGGAAAGGAACGTGCGAAGGCTAGGGGCAAAACAACAATGTCCCCCACGGTGCTCTCATGCCACCATTTCAGGAAGTTAAGGTTCAGACAAGCCGGCTCTCGCCCAAGCCCCCACGGCTGAGTGGGACTGCTGAAAGCCACACCTGCTGTCCTGCTTCTGTTCTTCCACACCCTGGGCCGTCTCACTCTCATCAGTGCGCTTTGGGGCCAGGGGCCCTGCTCACCTCTTGACATGGGCCTCGAGCCTTGACAAGAGCACATCCTGAAGGATGGCAGGCAAACAGGATCACACGGCAGAGTGAGCAAATTCACCGCTGGGTTCTGGCACGGGTCTTGCAGAGAGCTGCAGGTACTGGCCGGTAGAAAAACAGGCTCCATTGGAAGAGGTTTCGGTCTCGGAAGTGTAAGGTTTCACAGTAAAAACTCTAAGCCTAGTCCAAGCAACAGCCTCCCTCCCCCCGCCGCCCATTTCCATGTCAGTGATTTTTCACTTATTCCCAAGGATTGCAGAGGCCGTGCATTACAAGGACTGCCTGCTGTCCGCTGCCAGCTCCCTGATTTCCCTCGAGGTATCCCCGCCACCGACTCTGGCCCAGAACCTGTCGGGCTCGCCTCTGGTCACCATCCACCTGAGGCACAGACTGGTGAGTTTCAGCGAGATCACCTCCTCGCTGTACTTGGATATGGTTTGAACTGGGAGTGCGGGTTATCTGTGTGACCACAGGAAGAACCCTCGATGGTATTGGTGCTGCTGGGGGAGAGGAAGTTCCTCTCCCTAGACTCCTTTCCTGCGACTTTGCTTCTGAGCCATGGTGGGCTGCCCCTTGGGCGGGGCCGGTCGGTCACGCGGCGTTGGCGCTGGCTGGAGTGCAGGCCAGAGGCTGGAGTGCAGTGGTGTGACTACAGCTCACTGCAGCATGGCCCCCGCGGGCTCAGGCCATCCTTCCATCTCAGCCTCAGTGGCGGCTTTTCTCGTGAGTCGTTGTGAACATTCTCTGATTTCTAGCAAGTGGGCCTTTGGAGGAGGGGGTACGTCAACCAGGTCTCAGCCACCTTGTGCGACAGCCGTGTTCTGAGAGACACTCTGGCCGTGTTCATGCTTTGGGCCTTGCATGAGGAGCTCTCCGTCCAGCCACGTGGGAGCCTCAGTCCTCCCACGTGCCATTCACCTCTGCCAGTTGACAGGGTCGACAAAGGCTTTGGGGTTAGATGTGCTGCTGTCCTTTAAGAAGACGCACAGCTGCCCCATGCCTCCCTGCATGTGGGACAGGCTGTTGACAGGGCTCTCAAGGGCTGCGGCTTTCCAAGGGGTGTTTGGAAGAGCCAGCTGCGTGAAGCACGGTGTTGGAAGTTGTGCTGAGCGTGTTTCCCGGGGGCCTTCTCATCCTGTCCTGCCTGCTCCATGCTGGGCACCGACTGTAACCCAGGCCCCTGTGTATGGGCACTTGGGCAGGTGCCCTCTGCTCTCTAGGTGTGACTACCTGTCCGTCCTCCGAGGGGAAGCCCATGCACTCACCTTTTTTTTTTGAGCTGGAGTCTCACTCTGTCGCCCACACTGGAGTGCAGTGGCTGCTCTCGGCCACTACAGCCTCGACCTGCTGGGCTCCGGCGATCCTTCCGCCTCAGCCTTCCAAGTAGCTGGAACTACAGGCGCGTGCTACCACGCCCGGCTAGTTTTTTGATTTATTGTAGAGATGAGGTCTCACCAAGTTGCCCAGGCGGGTCTCGAACCCGCGGGCTCAGGCCATCCACTCACCTCCGCCTCCCAAAGCGCGGGATTACAGGCTGAGCCACTGAGCCCAGCCCATGCACTCACCTTCAGTGAGGATGGCGCTGCCTCTCCTACGGCTCCTGCCTTAGCCTCCCTTCCACCTCCAACCTCTTCTCCATTCCCACAGAAGCCACCTCCACCCGGCCACCCCCCTCCTTGGCTAATGACCGCTTCTCATCCTTCGAGCCCCTGAGTGCCACTAGACATCACTCGTGCCTGTCATGTGGGTTTTTCACCCACCTGCTCCGCCTCCCTCCTTCCTCAGGGAAAGACGGATCCAGCTTTTTTTGGAGCTCACTTTTCTTCAAGCCCCGTGCTCTTTCCCCTCCTTCGGAAGCTGGTTCCTCTGTGCTCTTAACCTCTCTTCTGCCAGACCCCCGAGCATGCCTGGCCACCCTCTGTCCTCCTCTGAGTAGTATCCTTCTCTCTTTCTCTCCCTCAGTCACTCAGAGCCAACTTTCACCATCTCTACTTTCTTACTGGCATTTATTTTTGAGTTAGGGTCTCACTGAGTCGCCCAGGCTGGAGTGCATGGTATGACTACAGCTTACCACAGCCTGGACCTCCTGGGCTCAGGCAATCCTTCCATCTCTGCCTCCCAAGTAGCTGGGACTATAGGTGTGCACTCCCATGCCTGGATAACTTTTAAATTTTTTGTAGAGATGAGGTCTTTCTATGTTGCCCAGGCTGGTCTTGAACTCTTAGGCTCAAGTAATCCTCCCACCTTGGCCTCCCAAAGTACTGGGATTACAGGTGTGAGCCACCACGCCTGGTGCTTACGGGCATTTTAAAGCAGAAATGGTCTCGAAGGTCAGAGGCTTTCCCTTTCCTATCTGGGGGTCCTATCCAGTCTCCGCTGTCTGTGAGGTATGCACAGCACTGGTCGTAGCCAGGATGAGCGTCCCCTGCCCTGGGTGCCACCTCCGAGTCCAGGCGCTGAGTGCTGAGTGCTATTGTCATCACACTGGTTGGTCTTCCCTGACAGAAGCTGCCCTGGTGGAGTGCAGAGTCATCTGTCATTTCCTTGCGTGTCTGGACTGAGCTCTGGTGTGGGTGGCGGGTGGGCTGTGCAGGCACTGTGTCTCCTTGTGGTACTGCTGCTTACATGTCTCCTCTTTGTCTGGAGAGAACCTCGTCCTAGCAGACTCTCCTCCCACATGCTGGTGGGGAGGCCACCAGCCCCCAAGATGCACACAGGCTCAGCCCACTCCTGGGAATGTGCCCTCGATGGGCAGCGAAGATGTGTTGTGTGCCTGGTGCTGAGGGTGCTTGAGCCTGGAGGCAGGTGGACGCGGCGGGGCTTGCTTGGAGAGACCCTGGAAGTTTGGTGTGCTTCGAGGTTGAGGCTGCCCTTGTTGGGGGAGCCTGTGTGTCACAGCAGAGGACCTGGAGGCCAGGCAGAGAGAACTTGGGGTTCAGGGGGCAGAGGTAGGCCTGAAGGGAGGCTGGGCATGAGTGGACAGGACAGCGGGAGACACCAAGCCAGTGAGGAGTTGCATGAGCACAGATACACACATGCGTACACTCATCACACACTCATGCACCCAGCACTCACACATGTGCACACACTTAGCACATGCACAGACACCCAGCACACACGTACACACATATGTGCAGGTGCAGACCCAGCACAAATAAAGGCACATGTGCACACACATGCATACAGATGTGCAGACCCTGCACACACAACCAGCATACACGTCTACACACAGGCACACACACATGCACACACTCAGCACACCACATGCACTCAGCATACATGTGCACCCACACATACATTTACCTAGACCCAGAACACATGTGTGCACACCAGCATACACACCCAGTGAATGCACGGCCACACCCCATCCTTGCTAGATCAGGCTGGCATGAGCCTGGAATTTGGAAAGTGCAAAGTGACTCGCTGTGGCCTGGCTCTACCCTCCTGTGCAGGGTAGGTCTCCAGGGCCTTCTCTGGGGTCCTCACACCCTTGAGCTCTCAGATAGCCCCCAGCACTCCAGCTGCCAGGAGGCAGAGGGGCAGTAAACAAAGCCACACCCACATTGTTGAGTGGTGGCACCAACATCTGCATTCTCCAGGGTGCCTGTTTATCTGACCTTCCACCTGGAACAGGGGTGCGTCAGGTCAGGTACAGGTAAATCCTGCTGGGTCTTTGCGGTGGAGGACCCTCCTGGGATGACCTGATAAAATTGCAGTTTCAAAGGGTCGGCTCCTTCCAGGGCTGCCCACATTGACGGTCAACTAGGAGACAAAAACACAGGCTTTGTTGGGCTGCCCTGTGGCCGGGTTCCTGCTCCACTGGCTTCTGTTGGGTGTCGTCACCAGTCACTTCATGACACAAGGACTCCTGGGTTAGGACATCCTTAAGAAACCTGCTTGGGTCAGTGACAACTCATGCGAGATGAGGTAGCGAGAGCCCACTTTCCGACATGGGGGCTTTGCTTCCTTTAAAATCAAGGGCACATCAGTGTCTCTGCCTGACACTATTTTGGCGGCACGATGGCATCATCTCTGCTACGGCAGATGCTGGCGTCTTCGTGGAACTTCTCAAAACTATCTTCTTGTGTCCCTGCGCCTGTCACCAAGCTAGTTGTTTGCTTCCCAGGCACCCGAGCTCACCAGAGCTCATCAAGGGGCTTGGCTTCGGCTTTGCAAGCCCGGGCCTATTCTGACTCTGGGTGGTCTGCCGGTGGGGGCTTGGATCAGGCAGGGCTGAGGGCTGGGCCTGCGCTGGGTCACTGTTCAGAACTGTAGTGGTGGGTGGCCCACGACTCGGCATGTGCGCACGACAGTCGCCACTGCATGACATTGCTGCTTTACATTCTTTGCTTCCCAGACTCCCAGAGAATCCAGATTCAGACCCTGACCTTTGGCCTTCCTGGCCGTGGTCTCTGCTAATCTCTCTGGCTGCTCCGCACCGTCTCCCTGGTCATGCAGGCGTCCTTCCCCGTGGGCCCACAGCTCAGAGCATGAGGGTGGGTGGGGAGGTTGGTCAGAGGCCCGTTCAGCAGTTCAGTCGAGGGGCTGGACAGGACGGCAGACACCCACTGCCCTGGGACACCACCGCACAGCAGCCTGTGTATCCGCTGCTCCCTTGAGCACGTGCCTGAGTTTTCTGACATGCGAACTGGCTGGAAACGGCAGTGTTCTGTGCAGTTCAACGTGTTCACTGTGTTCCATCAGAGTCTCCCTGTTTCTGGATTTTTTTTTTTTTTTTTTTGAGTGGAAGTTTCATTCTTGTCACCCAGGTTGGAGTGCAGGGGCATGCTTACAGCCACTGCAGCCTCGACCTGCTGGGCTCAGGCAATCCTTCCACCTCACCCTTCCAAGTAGCTAGAACTACAGACGCATGCCACCATGCCTGGCTAGTTATTTTGTAATTTATTGTAGAGACAAGGTCTCACCAAGTTGCCCAGGCTGGTCTTGAATCCCTGGGACAGGCAATCCTCTCACCTCAGGCTCCCAAAGTGCTGGGATTACAGGCTAAGCCACTGCGCCCAAGCTCCTGTTTCAATCAAGATGGAAATATCCCCTTTCCCAGGTCAGTAAAGAGTAAACCTTCTCAGAAGGGAGCAAGGCATGAGAGTAGCAGATTCTCTGAAAATTCTGAGAATTAGAAAACCAAAAACAAGCACCACAGAGAGCCAACTATTGTCCGTTTCAATTGCTGTTGTCAAAAATTAGCTCATCTAACGGCTTCAAACGGCCTCGGCTCTCCTGAACACCCATCAATCCCAAAGACGGGGAATGGGCGCCGTCACTCAGGGTTGCCGCGAAGCTTGGAAGGGACTGTCTGATGACGTGCGTGAGGGCGGTGTCCCTCTCGTGCCGCTGGCGTTGCCCCAGCAGGTCCAAGGCCTCATGGGTGCAGC